CTCTTCCGCCCCCGAAGATTCGCCGCCGCCTCCCAAGGGGCTCTCGCGCCCGCATAACCGACGGCGCGCGGCGGGTCGTCCCCGGAGAAACCAAACCACGCGCATCCTGCTTTTCAGCATCCGCCCGGTAATCTACCGCGAGATCGACTATGAATCGGGCGAATTCCGGTGGTCCGCGCCTGAATCCCGAGAATTCCGTGCGACAGATGAACGTTTGATATTATCTCGGCTTCGCCGAAAATCGGGTCGCGATTCTTACAACTGCTTAGAAATCGACGAGGTAAGATTTTTTCTTTTAGGACGATTGAAGAGCGACCGTCTTGAATCGCGTACCATGCATCTCTTAAGCGAAGTACCGCGAAGCTTGCGTTTTGATAAATTTTTCGTCGACATTTCCGCGCGGACTGTCGGGGAAAAATCCCCAGCTTACCCGGCAGTCAATTTTTATCATTCATCGCATGCATGAGATATGGTAAACCGTGTTCCTATTCAGCCGAAGCCATTCGGCGCATATTCAACGCATCATACCTTTCGTTTCGTCCACCGGAAGACAAGCGCAATCTCTCGTAGTCGATTCAACGAAGGGAGAGAAGGAGAGAAGTTGCCTCTCTTCGGTGCTTTTATTCGCGCGTTCCGGGATGCCAAAGCTTTTCTTTTCTCTCCATCCCCCTCCTCTCTCTCTCTCTCTCTCACTCTCTCGATACCTTGCATGTCGCGAGAGTCGAGGAAATTCACGCTCGAAGGTGCACCCTCGAACAGAGTTTCCCAGAGAACGTCTCCGCCTCTCGTTTCTCGCGCGGTTCCCACCCCCCAAGCGGACTCGAAGTGGATCGGAGGGTTGGAAATTTACGCGCCACGGATTTCGCTCCTCGTTTGCCCCTCGGTTCTACGGAAGTCGAAGGTCGCTCGAGCGTACGGCGCGGATCGAGATATCTCGATTAGATATTTCAACCTCCGTTATTCCGGTCGAGCGGAAAGCGAGTCTTCTTTCCAGGGATCTATCTCTCGTCTTGATAACGCCCTCCTTGCGCCGAACTTTTCACGTCTATATTGCTATAATCTCATTTATATGAAAAGTCGAATCTTCTTAATATCCCGCTTTTCTTTATGTCGCTTTAAATCTCGCTTTATAAATTTGTTATTTAAAAAAAAGAAAAAAAATTGCTTTTGTCTTTGATGGTTCTAGCATCGCAATCAACTAAAAAAATAAAAGCAAGAAATTAATAAAAGATAAAAGCAAGAAATTCGTATATTAAAATGTATTTCTAAAATTATTTTAACATTTGATCGAGTTGCACTTTCGCCTATCTCATTTTCGATTCGTTTCTTCCTTTCGAAGCATCACGTAGAATTACCCGCTCGTGCCTCTCTCCGCGGGACATATCCAATGTAATTTCGAGAATGGAACGCGTTGTTAAAAATTAAACGGATGACGCGGGATTGCGCACATTTGCTGGACGAACACCGAGATCCGGAGAGAAAGAGAGAGAGAGAGAGAGATAAATAGACGACACTGCTCCATCGCGTGGTTTAAGGGTCGGGGATTGGTCGTGCAAACGCGATTAGGCCTCCTAGGTTCCACTGTCCATTCTCCAGGCCTATCCGGCTGGAAGTGATTCCGGTCCGAATGGGGCAACATGGAACGTCTCTCGGGGATAAACCCTCCACTGGTATGGTCGCGCCGTACCATCCTCCCTTCCTCCTTCTCTCTTACTCTCGCCCCCCTCGTGTTTCGCTTGACCCGGCTACTGTGGGATTTCAAGAATCATCGTGAAACGTGCGCGGAAGTCCGAAGTGCTTCGGCAACGAATGCTCCTTTCCGGCACAGGGGCACAAAAACAGGATGGAGATCCTTAATCGTTGTCGAGAAAATTCCCCTTTTCTAGGGAATAACGTGCGGATCATGCCGGCGCGGTAATTGAAGATTATGGTCAGAGATCCTGGATCTCTCCGGCAACTGGAAAGCGTGATCGGGATGCTCTCGCGATCCGACGATCGAAATTGGAGGATAGTAGTAATTTGATTCATATTTATAGCTCGAGTAAAATTTCGTC